TTTTTAATTATAAATTAATATACAAAAAAAATATTATAATCACTTAATGTTATTAAAGATAAAAAAACAAAACTGAAATTTATTAGATAATTATTAATTAAAAATGTGACCACAAATTAAAAAATTAAAATGGATAAATTTGTCAATAAAATTAAAAAATTCTAATCCACTAGCGCTTTGGTACAAAAAGCTACATAAATTAGCTTTTTTAATCCGCTAGCGATTTGGACCCTAACCGCTATCCGCTAGTCTCAAACCGCTAAATAAAAATTTTACCAAACACTTTAGTTGTAGCGGTTTCGAAATATATAAAATTACCAAACACCTATATTTAGCGGTTTAGGTAAAACCACTAACCGCTACCCCAAAACCGCTATACCAAACGGGGCCTTAGTGTTAATTGTTATATTTTTAGGTAATATCTGAGGATATATTATGTTATAAAAATCAAACAAATATAGAAAAAATGTTAAGAATTGTGTATCTCCTCTCCTTTTACAAATTAGATGGATTTTTTTTTTATACCATTATGAGAAAATGGAGCATTCCAACTTTTACATTGAGTTATGTTTCTATACCTAATTTTGTTAAGTATTTTTATTTTGATAATACTATTAAAATAATCCCTTTTTTAAACTTTTACATTAAGTTATGATTTCTTTAACTCTATAAATACCCATTAAAAAATCAGATTTAGACTTTTAGGAGGAGAGCAAGAGAGAGACGACTAAAAGGAATTTAACAATAAAAGAAGATCAAGACTTGAGATCTTTTATGACTATGGATACTATTATGTTTATTATGGGGTTATTGATTTTTTTTTAATTATAAACAGATTTAGTCATCTAATATTATAATGTAACCTGATCAATTTGATATAGAATTTTATGATTTTTATACTTTTAAGGTTTATTATTTTATGTAGAGTATATATTATTGTTTTTAAAACCTTTTAATGATTGACCACCATAAAAACTGATTTGCAAAGCATAATTAAGACTGAAAAGAGATTTTATGCAATAGTTTCTAGTAATATATACTATGAATTGAATGAAAATAGAAATGGACCAATATGACTCATGCAATATTAGTGATAAAGTGAATTTAATTTTTTTTATCTAAATTAAGGAATTTCATATAACATAATTCATTTTTATCTATTTAAACTCACATGGAAATATAATGAGTTAATAGGTAAAGAAAGATTTAGTATAACTTGAGAAAATATATAAAATAGGATTGGAAGTCCTATTGTCACATAAATAATAAATACCTTGAAATATATTAATTTAAATTCTATATTCATATCCAACAAAATTAATCTAAATTCTATATTGATTGATTATGGTGAAATCAAATGCATTCAAATTTTAATTCTTAGTTTTACTTAAAATCAATTTAGTTTTTCTTTAATTATTCTAGTTAATTATTTTATTTATATTATTTAATTTT